CATTATTTCCTTCGTTTTGTGAATCGAGAATTTGCACACACACACACACACACACACACACACACATCGTTAAAAATAGTTGGGAAAATAAAGATAGAGATATAGTTGAAATGACTGTTTGGTAGAAACAAAAATATAGGCGCAGATAGACTGGGAGAAAGATAACCAACATGAGAATGCACATAATAAAATAAATATTTGTACATATGAAAACATACCGATAGATGTGTGTGTGTGTGTGTGTGTCTGTGTTCTATCACATATACATTGTATACCTTTTTGTATATGTATGCGTGGATACAGGTGTGTGTATGTATACTGTATGTAACACATGTTTGTGGATATATACATATACCAACTTATATTTTCATATAAAGAATCATGAATATAAACTGACTGTATGTGTATGTGTTTAGTACTGTATACGCTTCCATAATTTACATCAACAGTTTTCTTTTTTAGTTATTCATAAACAAAAGTGGTAATTTTGTTTAAATATTTTCAGTTTGCTCACACGCCATATGGCCTCCTCTTATTCATTCTCTCTACGTCACATTTTACCTTCTTCTCAACCTCTCATTCCCTACATTAATTTTCTCATTATACTTTTCTATTTTTTTCTCAGTTTAAATGAAGAGTTTATGTTTTCTATCGCCTCTATTGATGCAAAGATTCAATTTCCATACATACCTTCTGGAATCACATAGAATGACTGCCCTTTATTAGATTATCTTAAGTGAATAATTATATAATATTGAAAAATTTTCGGTGTTAATGCAGAAGAATCATTATAATGATGCAGTCAGTCAATATATGAAACGAATAAAATATGTTTTCATTGTAAAAAAAAAAAAAATATATATATATATATATATATATATATATATATATATATATATATATATATATATATATATATATTACCCTATTGCTTTTAGTACTAATACTTTCTAATATGTCTACTATTATATTTCTAAAAACATTAAACAAAATAATCTTAAAAGAAATGAAAATAAAATATATTTTTTTAAGATTGATGAATTAATTGTATTTAATTTTAATCTGCAAGATTTTTGTTGATTTCCTTCCAGAGATTAAGTAATGATTCAACTTTTAACATTTCAAGAATTACAGGCTGCCTTTCCTCTAAGCTTACATTAGAAAAAAAATCAGTTTTATTCTGCACAATCAATAAGAATTTACAGCGTTTAATTGTAAATGATGAGGCCTTCCCCCTAATACAAGCATTCAGTGCAACAAAAATATATCAAAAAGATGTTTCAGAGACTTTATTATATATATTTTTTTAATTTTAGGAAAGTTTTACACCTACAATACTGTATATACTTCACCACCCTCTCTCTCTCTCTCTCTCTCTCTCTCTCTCTCTCTCTCTCTCTCTCTCTCTCTCTCTCTCTCTCTCTGTTAATTGATTATTTACATCTCTCATTTATGTTTTCCCTTAACTAACTTATCTACATCTCACTTTATTTACCTACTATATTTCTCTGTCTCTTTTAATTTAAAATTTTCTTATTTTTATTTATCTATATTTCTTAATTTTTATCCCTACTTCTTTCCCTTTCTCGCTTTTATGTAAGTCTGCCTTTCTCTTCCCACTTCTTTAGTCTCTCTACTTCCCTTCTCTCTAAGGCATTTCTGTGTTTAATCTCTTTTTCTTATATTTTTTCTATGCCTCCTTATTCGTTTTAGGTGATTTATCCCCCTCTTTCTCTCTCCCCACATTTGTATATTTCTTTTCATTTTCTCTCAGTTCATAAATCTACCTTTCTCTCATTTATTGTTCTATTTTCTATACCCTCTCTCATTTTCTCTATTTCCCTCTCTCTCACTTACATTTTCATTATTATCTCAGTTTATCCATGCTCATTCACTTTAATTATTTCTCTCTCTCTCTCTCTCTCTCTCTCTCTCTCTCTCTCTCTCTCTCTCTCTCTCTCTCTCTCTCTCTCTCATACATGTTATTCATCTATATTTATTATTCATGTTATTTAATATACAATGTTATGCTTAGTTACAAGTCAGTACATATTGTCACCCTCGACCTGAGCCACATTATTGGGTCATTGATTCTGGTAATACTTGAGACATTTTTTAAATTCCCGACAGTTATTTGCACAGTTAAACATTATTTATGAAGATTATTAATGAATAATATAATCAAAATATATAATGAGTTACAATAAAAATGCAATATTTAATCTTATTTTTAAAACGATTTTTTTCATTATTAATTAATCATTCCTTTTCTTGCATTACCATATATTTTATAGCAAATTTATCTATTATTATGTAAATATTACTTTGAATTTGTAAGGGAAAATTTTGGGTGAAACATTCACTATAAGAGATAACTTATTACTCCTAAAATTCTTAGTGTACTTTTGAGTAAGTTATTATATAACACTAACTGCTTCTTTGGAGAAAAAATCATTATACGTATTATAAACCAAGACATTGTTTTAGTAATATAATTATATTAAATTTAATGTCCACATTTTTAAGGTTATCTTTACTCATGAATTCGAATTCGTTCAATTTACTGTTATTTTTAATATACTATATATATTTGTGCGTGTAGAGGGGGGTTAAGGTACAGTAATATCCCATATATAAGAGAAACACACAGTTGGTGCTAATACTCCAACATAACACCCATCGCTATGTCTTATAGTACTACTGACATGCAACATATGGTGGCAGCAGGTGCACAAAATTGTTCCACATAATCAAGAAATACAATACGTACATAGTTTTATAGCTCACATATCAACAGTGCACAGTACAGTATATAGAAATATTGAACAGATGTATTAATAACAAGGTAACATATGTGGTTCTCTTTAATCTCTTACATTACAAACTTAAGTTACCGTTTCTCAATGTTATTCTTCATTAATGCTGGAAAAGGTCATTTAATTTTCAATTATTATTTGGAATCCGTATAAGTTGTCTGCTTTTAAAGGTAATTATTAGTGAACGATGCTTAATAACCTGGCCAGTTTAGTTAATGTATATAACTCTTTTAAATTTTTATTCGACCATTTCTTTGATAATATTTATTTTCTATTTAACTGTAAAACTTTTATCTTTGTCCTGAAATTACCCTCCCATATTATTGAAGCTAATTATTACTTTAAGTATGATAATCTTCTTAAAAATACTCAAAGATAGTGATATTTTTTTATTTGAATTATAATAATTAATTTACAAATGGAACTCAAACCGTTCTATCTAATATTAAAGGTAATTATATATAACTTGATTGGTACCATTTTAAATTATAAATAAGGATATGAATATTTTTCACTTTAAAATATAATTATTTTAAATTATAATTCATAAACTCAATGTAATTTTAATTTAGAAATTAAGTGATCAGTAATTGTCTTAACTTATGAGTTATTATGGTGATCAATATATTATTGTGTAAAAATTAGTGATTATATATATTACAATTTACACATAAGATGTTAAAGTAGATTTAAGTGTAAGCTTTTATTTTTATTGAAAATTAATAATAATAAAAGTATACTGTATATATAATCTACAGCATATAAAATTATTATTTTTTTACTTCTGGGTGTAGTATTTAATGGGATAAAATAATAACATTTTATAATTACAAACAATAAATATAGAAAGAAGATTTATTAAACAAGTCAAAGCAATTGGTTTATGCTTATATATATGATGATTTTGTCTTATTTTGGATAAATAAAAATATGATTATAAACATGTGCAACGTGAGACAGGCAGAGAACACGAACACAGCTTCAAGTGCAGAAATCATAGTAAATATATTAAATATATAAATAAAATAAAAAATGAAAATATAAATATTGTTAGAAAATAACTGAATAAATTGTTAAAATCGTGTTTAGATAAATTGATAAGGTAAAAAAAAAGTAAAATAAATCAGTATAAATTGTTTGTGACAACCATCACGAGATACTGTAGAATAAAACACGTAAGAGCAGTGGCTTAAATAATAGGATTCATAAGTGGCAATAGCAGGAAGTGAACACTTTGTAGAGAATACACAAAATATTGATAGATCGACAGCGGCTAGCAATAAATGTTATGAGTGAACAAAATACTCATCAGCGCTGTGCCGAATTTGCATGAAGTGAGCAAATTAAACTATGTGCCACTAGCAATAAGTATGCATGATTTTTCCGACCAAATATACATAACAGGGGAACAAAAACATTTTTGCACAAATACCTAACATATCCTCAACCACAGCTAGCGATAAAATGTCATACAAAAAGGTATTGCATTTCCATATCTATTAATGTACTCATGGATAGAATAAATGGATGTATTGGTAACTAACACAATAATACATGCATTATAGAAAATTATACATATGGATTCATGCGACACTAACTATACGACAAACATGCATACTCGCGCAGCTAGCATAAACAAGGGTGAATAAAATTGGCTGGTTATCTACGAGCAATTCGAAAATAACTAAGCAGAATGAACTGAGATACGACAGTGTGCTGGCTAGAGAGTGAAAGTCATTCATGAAAGAGAAAGAAAGAAAAAATATATATAAATGGAAAGAAAGACAGAGAGAGAGAGAGAGAGACGATGCATGTATAAGAGGAAGAAAGAATGTGGAGAGAGAGAGAGAAAGAGAGGATGGGAGGGAGGCAGAGGGAGAGTGAGAGTGAGAGAGCAGCAAGGGCAGGGAGCTGCATGACGAGGTGTGTGTGTGTGTGAGGGGAGGGGGGGGAACTAGGCGAACTTGAGTCAGTTTTGATGGGAATGCGCATGACAGCCACACACACATACACTCTTACACGCTCTCATACACACATACACGCGGACTCTCTACCTCCTCTCCTTCTCCTCCTCCTCCTCCTACTCCTCTTCCTCTTCCTCCTTCTCTCTTCCCCTCCCTCCCTCCCTCCCTTGCTTGAACCGACCATCCAGTTTTGCTTTCAGTGAGAGAGTCATATACTAACCTGTGCAGAGAGTTGTAGTAACATCATTCCTCTTTATTCCAGGTAAATTCTAGGCATCATTGGCACTGCAAGCACTGCAGGAGGCACTGCATGACCCCTGCCCACACGGTAGGTTTGCACTTAACACTTTTTATTATTTATATTGTCACTTATGTTGGTCATCGTTGGCATTATCCCCCCGATGGCGTTTGCATGCAAGCGCCGAACAGCGAGGTACCTCCTCTCGCGCCAGCTTGCAAGCATAACCGATAGATGTCGGCAGCGTCCAGACCGGCTTCTACACCCCCCCTCTATCCCTCACTCCCCCGTCACCCACTCACCCCTCCCTCTCTACCCCCCTACCCATCTGGCCATATACACACCATCCCCCACTTCACAGCACTTGGACACCCCCTCCTATATCACCCTCTCCCCCCCACAGCGTCGCAGCACGACACAGCACGCCTCCCCCACGCCCACACCACGCCCACACCCCGCCCACGCCACGCCTACCCGTCTCCTGCAGTAGGTGGGCGGGGAGACTTGGAGGCCGGGCAGGGAGATCAGTGACCGCCCCCAGGAGACCGTAGATACCGTAGGGGGGTGTAGCAGGAGGTGGCCGCCAGCAGCAGTAGTAATAGCTGAGGGAGGCAGCATAGTGCACTACGGTCACCACTCTGGGGGAGGGGGGTGCTGGGGGTGGATGACGATGAGGTGCGGTAGTAGGGGGCGTGGCACTGCCCCCCCTTTACCCCTTACCCTCCTCCTAACCCCTCCCCCCTACACCGGCACTGTACACACCCCCACACATTGGCACTAAGGGAGGGGGTGGGGAATATGGGAAAAAGGGGGGCGTGGCACTGCCCCCATCCCCTCCCCCCTACCCTCTCCCTACCCCTCTCCCTACACCGGCACTGTAACACTCCCACACATTGGCACTAGGGGGGAGGGGGGAAGGGGGGTGTTGGCACTAGGCCAGGGGGGGTTGGTGCGGTAGACTACACGGCGGCGACGACGACGGCGGGGTAGCGGCGGGTAGCGGCGGCGTGAAGCAGAGCAGCGACCACCTCAAGCACGGCTCATGCACTGGGGCCGCCTGCCTGCTCCTCAGCCCCGCCGCCTGCAAGCACAAGCACTCACATGCAGATCAATACCTTCATGCAACCGCCCGCCCCAGACGCCTTGCTTCTGACTTGGTCATGCACTGTCTTCTGTCATATTGTACCACGCTGTACCTTGTGGTCTTGTACCTCATTGTACCCTAGAATATTGGGGTACATCATGCACTGAGATCATGTACCACGATACACCCTGGGATATTGTGCCATAGTGCACCACAGTGTGTCATGAGGCCACGTACCACATTTCCCTGGCTATTGTGCCGGACTCTGGGTCTTGTACCACAGTGTACCCTGGGTATTGTACCACATTATACTGTACCTTGACTGTTGTACCACTTTACCCTTGGTACAGTACCACACTGTGCCCTGGGTATTGTTCCATTCTGTACCCTGGGTATTGTACCACACTACCCTGAGTCTTGTACCACACTGTACCCTTGGTATTGTACCACACTTTACCCTTGGTATTGTACCACACTGTGCCCTGTGTATTGTACCATACTGTACCCTGGGTATTGTACCACACTACCCTGAGTCTTGTACCACACTGTACCCTATATATTGTACCATACTTTACCCTTGGTATTGTACCACACTGTGCCCTGTGTATTGTACCATACTGTACCCTGGGTATTGTACCATACTGTATCCTGGGTATTGTTACACCAGGTGTTCTGGGATCTTGATGGCTATATACCTTTTGATATATTTTACTCTAAGGTATTGTACTATAATACCCTTGGACATTTGACCATAGTGTACCTTGAATTATTGTTCCACTATACCCTGTGAAATTATAACACACCCAACCAAGTGGCATTGTATCACTCGCTATTCTGAGATCTTGTACCGTTTTGTACTGTACACTGTAATATTGCACCACGCTGTACCCTTGAGAGTTGTACCACAATATAACCTGGGTATTGTATCTGTACCCTGGAACATTGTACCATGCTTTATCCTGGGGGCATTTCATTACCCTGTACCCTTGGGTTTTGTACAGTGCTGTATTTAAAAATGGCACATTGTATCCTTGGGCAAAGTTCCCATCTGTATCTCAGGGTCTTGTACCATGCTGTACCCTGTGGTCTTTTGCCACAGTCTTCTAGGGTACATTACCACACTGTACCCTGGAATATTGAAGAAATTCCCAATTTTCCTTTTAATTTAATTTTTTTCTTTGTCTTGTCCCTATTTATTATTATTAATATTATTATTATTATTAATATTTTGGGAATTTGGTACATAGTTGCCAAAATGTTATTACAATGTGTGTGTGTGTGTGTGTGTGTGTGTGTGTGTGTGTGTGTGTGTCCTTAGACTGGGTTCTCGCTTAGATCAGCTGGCTGGCTGATGTGAAGGTCAAGTGGAAGACGGAAAGTTTTTTATGCGTGTATGTGTGTGTGTGTGTGTGTGTGTGTGTTTGTGTGTGTGTGTGTGTGTGTGTGTATGTGTGTGTGTGTGTGTGTGTGTGTGTGTGTGTGTGTGTGTGTGTGTGTGTGTAAGAGAGAGAGAGAGAGAGATGTAAGCAGGAATAAATGGAGGAAGGAAGAAACAGGAATAGAAAATGGAAGGTAGAGAAAAAGGAAGATGGGAAGTAATAATGGATAAGGGGTTGGAGGAAAGAGGTAGAGTAGGAGGGAAGAAGGAAGGGAAGGAGGGAATAAAGGAGGAAGGGAACTAGTACTAGAGGAGGGAAATACCGTGAAGAGAGGGAGCGAGAAACCATTAGGAAACGAAGTAAGGAATAAACAGGGAGGGAAGGAGAGAGAGACAGAGAGAGAGGCGCATGAAGATCACTCACTAAGAAGCTGTCTGACTGCCTACGTTGCCAGCGAACCTTAGCAACAAGTAGAGGAAGAGAGAGAGAAACAGTGTAAGAGTGAGAGAGAATGGTGTGAAAGAGGCAAGAAGTAAATCATAATAATAAAAGATTAAAAGAAATAAGGAAGAAAGATATAAAGGTGTGTGTGTGTGAGTGTCTGTGTGCGTGCGTGTGTGTGAGAGAGAGGGGGGGAGGGAGAGAGTGAGAGAGGATAGAGTCCCACATTCAGAGCTCAGGCAAAGATCCGCATGAGAATATGACCTTCATGGCACAAGCGGCGTGCGGTCAGTTTGGCGCATGACTGCAGTGGGATTTTCCTCCTTATGGCTCACAAGAAATAACACTCTTCTGCCCCGACTCTGAGCCTTTCAGACATGACACACAGCTTCTGAAATGTTCGTCTTTAACTATTACACCCAGAAAATTGTATTCCGTTTTTACTGTACTTTTATTAAACTTGTAATATATGTTTTCTTCATTTTTATTTATAAAGGATTATATAAGTAGTACTGAAGTATGTTGTTAAATATTTTTTTATTAATCTTATATTTTTATTTAGATTAACAAAATTGTTAATAATTTTTACATAGGGTGAACTTTCAGACATTTGGTAACTCTTATGAAATTTAGATAATTTTTCTTCATCTTTACTATCATTTTTATTCTTAATTGTTGTTCTAATTGTTATAAATTACTGATATACTTTATAGGTCAAATAAAAAACACAAACAGATTGATATATAAGCAGACAAAGTTAAACAGGTTAATAGATAAACAGGCCAACAAACATACAGGAACGAGATGGAAAGAAATACAGACAGACAAAGAGAAAAATATGACTGACAGACAGACAGACAGGGACTCAAGCAAGGGTGGGACTGGCCATTTGGGTGAACCAGGAGCTGGGGGAGGGAGGGAGCAAGCAAGGATAGAGGGAGGAAGGGAGGGAAGACGGGAAAGGGGGAGTAAGGATGGATAGAAGGAGGCAGAAAAGGAAGAGGGAGAAAGAAGTCAGTGAGAAAACAAATAAACAAGGAGGCATGGAAGAAATAAGCTAACAGAGGGAGAGACAGGTAAGGGGGTAAGTGGGAGGGAGCAAGCAAGCATTGAGAGGGAACAATCAGGGAGGAAAGCGAGATTATGGAAGTAGGTAAATAGTGAAGGAGGGAATAAAGAGGGAAACAAACATGATGGTAGGGACGTTAGAAGCAAGCAAGCAAGTAGGGTGGAAGGGAGCGAATCATGAGGAAGGAAGAAAGAGAGGGAGAGAGAAAGCAGGGAGGACGAGGAGGGAGGAAGCAGGGAGGACAAGGAGAGAGGGAGAGAGCAAGCAAGCAGGGCGTTATAAGCGGGTCTAGACTGGTCACACCAACATACACAAGCACAACCCCACACAAGAACCTGCTCTGACTCCCCCCTCCCCTCTCCTCTCACCCCTCACCTCGCCAACCTACCTCCTCTTTCTTTCTTTCTTTCTTTCTTTCTTTCTTTCTTTCGTATGCGTTTATTTTTATGAATATATATATTTGATTTTTTTTCCGCGTAACTAATTTATTTTTACCTACTGTATGTCCCTCTCTAGTTATTCATCTATATACATCACCTCTCTCTCTCTGTCTGTCTGTTTCTTTTTCTCTCCCACAGTTTCTTTCTACCTTTTTTATCAGGGGTGCTCCCCCTCTCCCCACCACCCCCACCACTGCTGGTTCAACTCACCTTACATTCCCTCACCAATAAACAGGTAAGGTAAAAACACATTTAGTTTAACCTGTGACAGGAAGAGTAATGTTTCCTTAACCTGCCTGAGACCTGCATATAGTTTCACGCTCCGCTGTAACACTATAGGTTACATTGTTTATTAAAACGATAGTTGGATCTAGACTCTCAGACCAGTCTGGAAACGACAGTTGAATCATGCCTTATAGAGGCACGGGTGCTGGCACGGTGTTTGACGGTGTTTGACAGCAACCCTTGCCTCGGGGACATCAAGAATCTGCCCTGAGAACTCATCTTTAAACTTAAAGTGCTATCATGGAAGAAACAAAATCCTGAAATACTTTTATTGTTTACGGAACCTCCAAGTTGATGACTGTGGGTAGTACTCGTCGTACATCCTCACCTCGAAGTGTCGAAAGGCTTGGTGGTCATGCACTCGGTACGATAACTCCTGCATGGCCCACTCGCTGCCTGACGCCCCGCTGCCATGGCAACAAGCAGTGATTGTGGTGGCAACAAGTAGTGATTGTGGTGGCAACAAGCAGTGATTGTGGTGGCAACTAGCAGTGGTTGACGTGCTTTAACAAGCATATATATTGTGGAAAAAAGAACAGTGATTTAAAAGGCATAAGAAACAACACAAACCAGCCAAGATTAGCT